AGTCGAGAAGCAGAATTTTGCTGTCATTTATCGTAGCCAGGCTGCATGGGTGAGGGAAAGGTGGCGGTGGTGGAGGTACTACTGGCAGTGGGGTGGTGCGGTCAGGCATGGACTGTGTGTGTGTGTGTGTGTGTGTGTGTGTGTACTGTGGGAACTGTCATTTATTGTTGTCTGCTTTGGGGGCAAATATTTGAGTGTGTTCCTGCTTTTCGACTGCCGTTTATTGGTGATTACTTTCTGTCGGTATACCATTCTGAAGTTGAATTGTAGATCTGTAAATGCCTTTTCCATTATCTCTATAGTTGGGAGGGGCGGTCTGCTGTTTAAGGTGCTTTTCAGGGACGTACATACACATACGACTGTAAACTTCAGTCTTCTTTCCATTAAGTTCTTAGGATTCTTCTTCTTTTAGCTTTATTGCAAAACGGGACATTGTATTGGTGCCAGCAACGTTTTTAGCGTACTCTCCCATGCACATAAGATAGGGCCTTGCCGACCGCTGGAGATTCAATTGAATCTCCAAATAAACAGGCAATGCAACGTTTGCAAATACTGCTACTTTACGATGATTAAGGATTAAGGTATACTGGGGGTTTTGCAGAGTGATGCGTATACTCGATGTCAAGTAACGTTCTACTCATCTTTTCGTCTCTTGTCTAAAAGCTTAGTTTCCGTTTAGGGCTTTAAGAGACCTTTTAGGGGCTTTAGGAGATGTGGCATAATAATTTGAATTCCATACTATTAATACTCCAACAATGAAAATAATCGACAATGAACCACTTTCAAATTTATTTTAAGCTTCAGGGCAAAACGCATTCCTGACCCACAAAGCAATTTAAGTTTCAACGCAAATTGTTCTTAAATTTCAGTCAGCAACTCTTCTCGGAACCCGGTCGTCCTCCAGAGGTAGTAAGCTATCAATTTATTATATAGTCTAGGTTTAAGCTGCTCAATTTTATAGCTGACCGGAGGGCCTGTTGTATCTGTTTGTTGCTCCCTCTGCCTCTATTTTTGTATTTTTCGTTGTTTTTGCCGCCATGCACTGGCTTTTGGCATGCAGAGTTTTTGCACATGGCTATTTATTATTGATATCGTTACCCTTTAAGCGCACACTTTATGGAATTTCGTAGTGTTATCTGACTGGGCCAAGCACCCATCCACCTATTGCCGGGGCAAATTCAATTGCATAATGCTCAAAAGCTGAGCGCTCAGGAGCACAAAAGCCGAATCCGAATCTGAAGCTGAAGCTGAAGCTGAATATGAAGGACGAGGAGCAGGCTGGCGTTGGCTGCTATAACTTTTGGACTGTTTGCAGTGGGATGCGCTGACATGCAAAGCAGCAGAAAAATTGTCTGGTAAAACTTGCCAGTCAGCTCCTGGAATCGCAGATAGACAGCCAGTCAGACGCATAAACTAGCTGGAGATGCTGCTCCCATTTCCTATTTCTTTTTGCTCAGTGCGTTGTACCATCTTAAAGATTTTTAACGGCTCCGCGCCCACCTTCGCCGGCAAACAGACAGACACTCACACACACACACACACACACAGAGGCACTCGTACAGCGCAAACTTGTCGAAAATATATACGAAAATTGTTTAACAAGTTGAAGGCTGACTGGCAAACTTTTTCACCTGCTCAGCGCAACTCGAGTCGGAAAAAAGGAATACACAAAAAAGGCAGCAGGACATAGTCCGACTATAAAATACCCGCTACTCAGATATCATTCGATCAAGTAATACATTAACTTATTCCAAAATGTATATATATAGTTTTCGTCCCCTCTCATAGGATATCCAGCATTTCTTGCTCTACTTAATAATTGTCTTCGAGGTCCAGGCACTATTACACGCTTCGTGCAAATTCAAATGTAAGTATACTCCTGTTGTCAGGCAGTACTGGGTATAATAATGGGGAGTAAAAGTGTAGGAGACGAAAGTTTGCATTGATCCATAAGTTTTGGCAGCTTCGGAGCTGTTCCGCTTACAGCTGAGCTACATTTTCTAGTCAACTTTAGCAGCAGCTCCGAATCTGGCTTTTAATTAAATAATTTCTGCTCACAATGGCAGGCTGACTTTCAGGCATTCAGGCAGCTGGCTGGAGCGGACAATGGACAAAGGATTAGCCAAAATGTTCTATGCATTCGAGTCCACAGCCAGGACTCTCGTTTCTGTGCAATTATTTCGGCTGGGAAAATATTTAACTGCATTTCCTATTGATTTTTGTGCTTGCAATCAAGTTGCCTGCGAGGCAAGCAGGAAATTGACGATCTCCTGCAATTGTTGTGCCTTACCTACGCCGGAGAAGAATTTTACCGGGCCGGGAAGTGGAAGCTGGCGTAGTAGAAGCAGAACCAGCAGTAGCAGCAGTTTGTCCGCCCTTTGTCATCCCATCCCATCCCCCATCCACACAAAGATTCCTGGACAAACAGATGAAGCTGACTGTGTGTCAAGAGAAGAGGTGAGTGGAATAGGGAGCAGGGAAACACACGATGGCAAGCTCGTCTATCGTTTATAGCAATTTCATTTGACTTCTCGCTTGTGTTTGCCATTGGCTTGGTCAATAAATGAGCGTAATATTTGGACTTTGATTCCTGCGGCTATACTGACGACGCGTCGGTGCGACAGTTGAAATATAACTTACTATAAGCTCCAACTGCAACAAAGTAAGTGGAGTGTGTGGAAAACTTTGACTTAAACAATGCAAAAGGAAGCTTTTATGCCGGAAAATGCAATGAAATATTAATGAATCGTCAAAATATAAAATGCATTTGGAAGCAGTGTGTGCTCTGGCTGATAGTAATCCCCATAATCAATGTTCTTGCAGTGGGCAAAGGTGAGCAATTCTCTTTTCCATCAAGCTAAATTTACCCCGAGGGCTGGCCAAGAGGCAGAGCTGAAATGACAGAGAAAGGGCCATGGCATGCTCGCAGAAAAGGTAACGTGCTCAAACTTACTTAACACAAGGCAACACGACACTGCATGGCATTGCATGGGACACACGCATACGTGCAGTCCTTTTTGTACTGGCTCGGAACGGGAACGTGGCCAGCAAGACATGGGGCCGGCCAGGAAGGGCCAGGGGGCATGGCTAATTCGCAGTCAGCGAGCGCAGCACACACAACAATGCCACAACGGCGACTGTAACCGTACTGTGCGTCACCTTTCCCATTGTATTATGACAGCACCACCGGCACCTGAAAGTACGAGAATGCACTGATTCTGCCTCAGAGTGGGGGCTGTTTTTTTCTAGTCCACTCACTTGAGAAACCCCACTAAAAACGGTAAACAAAAAGCAGGACAATAGCCGAGCGGAGACGCGGAGGAGCAGAGGAACCAAGGAGAACGCTATGGCATGGCATGTGTTCATTGTCCAAGAGCTGTTCATGCATGGGCACGCATTCGTTGGGGCGCCTGCTAGTATGAGAGTCAGAGCAGTTGGCATATCAACTGGTCGGACATGGTGTAAACACGTTTAATGTTGTTGCCAATGCATGGCTGCAGTTCCTCTGGCTTCAGGTCTGGCTCTGGCTACAGTTCAGGGACTGGGACTGGGACTGGCTCCAGCCACTGTGTCTCCTTGGCCGTTGTTTCTACGTTTAATTTAATCTACTAGCCAAAGCTGGCTGCTACCTTGTCAGGGTCTGCACTTCAATTCCCATGTGCGGGAGTTCATGTGTGTGTGTGTGTGTGAAGGGGGGCGCTGCTCGAGTGCACCGCAAGTCCATTTAACTTAACTTTGGCAGAGATGGCCCTAGACCTAGACCTGGCTGCCAGGATGGTTCTTCCCCGGCTGCCACGTCTCGCTGCATCACTCAAACACAGAGGAGCGACAAGGATGCGTGTGTGTCAGCCCCTGTCCCTGTCCCTGTCCGTGCACCAGCTACGTAACTGTGTGAGCATCGTAATTTGCATGGTCAGCTTCCAGTTGTGGGACACACTGAGTGGCAAGTGGTTCCTCGTCCCTGGCTTAATTGCATGCAGGAATAGAAGCAGCAGCAGAGCAGCCGCATCAGCATCGGCAACTTCATCCAATTGCTGTTACCCAGTTTTGGGAAACGGCCCATGCACATTCTCGGTGCCATCGAAAGCGATTCTTTCCACCTTAAAGTTGGGTTTTAAGCCTCAAGATTAATATGGAAGCGAAAACACGGCAGAAAACAGAACAAAAATCAAGACCCCGACAACGATACTCCCTTCCGTCTGGCAGGTGATTATGGCGCACGTGGTCCAAAACATGGCATGGTCCATGTCGTTATACGAATGGAACATTAACAAAAAGGTATGTACATTGTAAATATAACGTTTACAGCATGGCGACATGGCCTTTCCCTAGACCAGAGCGAGTCCAAATCAGACAATGTATGACATTGACTGGCTAAAAAAATCTACACGTACAAATGGTGCGCACCCTATCCCTATAAATGATAGTTTTTTGTGCAAGTGTCGTCCTTTATAATATTATTTGTTCTTTTACGAATGCATTCGAATCACTTGCAAGCGATTTAATTTTAATTGCATGGACGTTAATCAACGACAGCAAAAGCCAGAAGCAAATAAAACCAAAATATATTGAAGTTCCGCCAATGAAAATATAAAACAATATCACAACGAGTACGCATTTGAATTGACCGCGTAATTTAAAAACTATCGATTCCTTCTATGCATTTTACAGCACTAATTGTGAAACAGCTGTTTGGTGGATTCTAGTCGATGTCGCAGTTTTTCACATAATTTAAGATAAACAAAACAAAATAGTGGGGAGTTGCGAGCCGACTAGTTGATCTGAGGTCTAGGCCTTATTTAATAAATATAAATAGAAAAGGTTAGTTATATATTTCGAACGGTCTGGCATCATTCCATCAACATTCCATATTTTCCTACAGTATGGGCATCTTTCTCGAAATCATAGAACAGCTGCAGCAACAACAAAATATAAACAAAACAAACAAGCAGCGAGTTGTTACATTTTTGCATTTTTTGGCGCGAATTTGTTTATAACAAATGAACGGAGAAAGAAAGTCAAAGTCCCTGAAAACTGTACGTCTGGGCGACCTAGTCTACGATGAGCAGAAGAGGCTGCTGATGCTGTGCCGCAGCTGCGATAATTATTTTGTCAGATTGCAATTGTTCCAAAAACATTTGGTCGACTGCTCTGGCGTTAAACATGTTGTGAACTCCACTGATCAACTCAGCTACGTCGAGGAGAAGCATGAGACGAGGTTAACAAATGGAGGACAGGAGGTAAAGTACACATAGCTTCCCTGGGACATCCCCACTAATCGGAGTCTCTTTTTGCAGCTCCACATTTACAACATTGAAGATGTGAGCAGCAGTGTCATTGACTGGGAGGCAGAATTGGAAGATCCACGTTGGTACGACGACGAGACGCGCTTATCCGCGCTCCCCAAACCAAAGACATCGCATTCCAAAGAAAATGTGGTGACCCAAAGGCAATTGGTCATTGAGAAGACACCGCAGATAGCAGCCGCAACGAGGACCATAAGGCGTCGGCAAAGTCCGATTCATAAACATCCAACCAAAAAGATTAAGACAGAGGCTGTCATTGTGCCCCATGTAATGGAGGACTTAAAGCGTCTGGTGGCCACTGACACGGAAGTCCAGCCATCCCCAGCAGTTGCCAATGGCAGTGTAGGCAAAGAAGCAACCACTAACACCACCCAACAGATACTCAGCAAACTTCGGGCATGTGGCGTCGATGTGAAGCGTGCCAAGACTCAAGTGATTCCCACTTCTACAGTAGACCCCGATTTGGCGAAAAAACAGAAAACCCTCGAAATAATGCGTAAGTTGCAATCAAAAGGAATCAAGTGCACGAAAATAAGAGGTGAATGCAATGCACCAAAAATAACAGAGGAATTCTCGACTCAAAAGCGAGGAGGGGAATACCCTGAACCAATAATAAAATCCCATCCAAATCATATTATAAAGGAGTACGATGCACCCTCAATGCAAGATACTCCGTGCTCGATGAAAGCGGAATCTAATATACCAAAAATTACAAAGGATTACTACAATGCATCAAAAATAAAAAAGCTGTCCTATGCACCATAACATAAAAAGACTATTGCTCTTAGTTATATGCTTATGCTTGTGTATTATCTAATATAAATGCATCCTGGGCTATACATAAAGCATACATCCATGTAGATATGTATATCTTTTTTACTTTTCATAATTTTAAAATTCGAATTTAAAGTCGAGCTAGTATTAGCGTAGCGGCAGAAATTATACTGTGAAAGTATAATTTGTAGTGAATTGGTGCTAGAAGCCTAAACTGAGGAGTAGGTATATTTATGGTCTATTGGTATATACATATGTATATGTACGTATAGCCTGGTTTGCCATGTACATACATTAGTTCAATGCATCATATAAATGAATTTTCTCGGAGTTAAATTTGCTTAAAAATTCAGAAATGACAGGTCAGACAATTCGAATTGAAGACATAGGATAATATGAAGCCATTGAGCTCCACAATAACTCCGGAGCTAAAATCTAAAATCCATCTGTCCGATTTCTAAATTTGATGTGGGTAACAAAAAAAAGGAGACCTTTGTGACACAAATGTTAATTCAAACTAGATTGCCCAACAAAGCTGATTCTTGACGGTATCCCATGTTATGGCAGCGCTGTCATTTGCCCGCAAAATTCAATAATTAAATTATTGAGACCCCAGAAAAACAGTATTTCGTAGAGCAAACAAACGAAATGACAAGATGAATAGTTTAACACACATTTTTAATGTATTGTGCAAAAGTTAAAAGTACTTAATAATACATTTCTACATAAACAGAATATACGTATATTAAAAGCATAAATCATCTTCTTTTTTGTATATAAAATATCAAATGCTTCAAAGTAACAAAAGTTTTCGAAAAAGAAACGTTAATTACACTCTGTATAAAGAGATAGAAATGTGCTGAAATGTTCTTAGCAAAAGCTGTGGCTGCATGTACAAAGTAATCCAAAAATATCTATATTTCAATTGAGGATTTAGCAATCACATTGCTGGCACTTGTTACGTTGAAGCAAATTCCTTTTTGTTTCTAAAGCATTTTCCTGTTTAATTACATACACACGAAATTATTTGGGCTGCCGATTGTGGGATGGGCAGTTCTACTTCGGGGCCAGGTTGAGTTTTCCCAGCAGCTGGGTAGCCTGTTGGCCGGCGCTCTCCTGAGCGTGGCTAGCGGCCTCTTGGAAACTTTTCTCGGCGGCTCCCCGCTTCTGGTCGACGTACTGATTAGCCTCGTTCAGCTTCTGGTCTACCGCCTGGCTGGTCTGCTTGAGCGCTCCATCGATGGCGCCTTCAGCCTGCTTCAACTTCTGGTCGGCCACGTTCTCAGCGGCTTTGACACTCTTGTTGATGGCATCGTTGGCTGCCTTCTTGGTCTGATCCACGGCATTCGCGGCTGCCCGCTGCGAAGCGTCGGCAATGTTGGCTGCCACCTGCTTGGAGTTCTGGGCGGCGGCACTTGCCTGCTGAACGGTGTTGTCCACAGCCTGCTTGGTCTGATTGACAGCTCCAGCAGCGCGATTCACACCCTGATCGATCGCCTGTCCAGCCTTCTGGGCCTCGGCCGTGGCCAAAGCGGCAGCCTCCTTGGCTAAAAAAATCACGAGAGAACTGTTGTTAGCAGGAGGTCTGCATTATAAGGATCTGCATTTAATAGTTACCTGTGCTCGTGGCCAACTGCTCGGCCTCGTTCTTCGTCTGCTGCACGGACTGACCAACCTTCTTGGCCTGCTCCTCGGCTAGCTTCTGAGCCTCGACAGCCTTATCGTTGGCCAATTTCTCAGCCTCATCCTTCTTCTTGCTGAACAGACTGGCGGTCTTGTCGCCAATGTTCTTCAACGAGGCTGTGAACAGACCGAGAAAGTTCAGATTACAAACAGCTATTGTAGAAGGGGACTAAATTTGAATTGTACTTTGATTTTGACGACTAGGAAACATGCTGAGAGGCCTTCTAAATGAAAACTAAGCTTAGAACTGTCGCCAATTATAATTTATAGCCTGATTCGAATCAGATTAAAGATTTGATGTTTGTGATTTCAGATTCCAGATTCCAGACTTGTAATTGCCGAAACACAAACAAAGCTGAGCTATTTTTAAGTGGAGCATGAGCGATTTACATGACTGAATCCCAATCCGACCGAATCGATTATACGGGTGACAGTTTCTTTCAGTTCAGTAATGCGACGACCAACTTGGGGCGCATGGCGTCAGTCTTAAATTTTAAAACACATCATCCCCACGAATTCATATTTGTAATTTAATAGAAATTAAAAACACTTTTTGCTTTCAGCTTTTTGCTGTCCCCCGCCGAATGCATTCACATCACATGACGTGTGCGTTCACTGAAATAGAAACATTGTGCCATTATATTATAGTCTGAACCGCAAACGGAAGTTAGAGAACCTCTTCTGCTGCTGCTGGCGGCACACAAGAGAATTCCTTTGTCTATGTACTGCGCATATAAAGAATGGAAGCAAACACACAAATATTTGAATAATTCAAAGTATGTGATGTCATAATGGGATTCGTTAAATGATTTCGCATTCGGTTCTAAAACTTTTCTTCACGCTTTTGGCATATGATTGGTTCGGGAATGAGTTGTTTATAGCTTGGGCCAGCTGTAGCTAATGGTGAATTCAATTATTTCCACCCTCAATAGTATATATGTTTACTTTAATGGATTTTCTCTTTTGCCACTCGGTCAATTTCAACATAATTTTGGTTTTGGGCAATTTTTATAAGCACTTAATGATCAACACGCTCCAAAGCAGGCTGAAAATGGTCCGAAAAGTATAGTTTCTGTCGGCATATTTTCGGAAAATGTAAGCGAGGTGAAGATGGCCAAACATCTATACAGAATGGTGTGATTGCAATACAACGAACGGTGTGGCATTGAGCGAAATTAAGATTCAGTAACGTATCTAAAAATTACGAGAAGAACAGTGAGTGCATTCCTTATTTCATACTCTTAACTAATTAAGCTAAATTGCGTCATTGTCATTATATGTATACTTGCAGGTTTCATGCATTTTTCAGTGCTGGGTTCGGGGGTTACATTTAAATTCAAATTCAACATCAAATCTATATAAAAATGGCAAAGCTGTTGGAAATTTAAAACGCAATATAATCTATATTTTCTGACTGGTTGAAAAGAATGTGGTATTCGCTGCACACTCATTTGCGTAATTCTCCGGCATTTACGATACATTTTGTTGTTGTGTTTTGGTTGGATACTGTGGCAGTATGTGGTCAATATATATATATAAAAAACCGGCTAGAACGGCAGCAACGAAAAGCATAGCCCAGGGGCAATGCCATGAGCCACGGTAACAGACTCTCACAGCCTCACAGAAATGTGGTTGCCCGCAGATAATGCGCAGAACAGAACCTATATACAAGTAGTAGTGGAAAACCTGTAGTTGGCTTCGCACACACTCAAGCTCAACCCATACATTCATATACAGATGAGCGTGAATATCTATGAGTAACGTAACTGCGATTTGAGGTCTGTGGAATCACGTTCCACACCAGTTCTGGATGCCTAAAAAAGAGTAGTCCAAGCTCCAAGCATATGAATCGATGAAGCTCTCTGCTGTTGCCGTTGTTGCTGCTGTTGATGATGTCATGTGGGATACAAACACAACTCGAGATACAGATACATACGTTGGATAAGTTTTCAGACACAAACAATAGCGGCGGGCGCGTGGCAAGCGGAATCCGCACGCCCAATCAATTGCTGGGCTCCAAGGCGTCATATTATCCACATTGTCGAAGGTCATCTACGTCAGGCAGGGCCACAGCTGGCAACAGACCAAACGAAGTGTGTCCTAGACTCCGGATTCCCAGGGACAATTGTCGGCTGATGTCATGGCCACGAAAAGGTACGAGTAAATCAATAAAACAGCACTGCCAACGAAGGGCAACTAAACTCTTTTGGATGAGTAATGCGAGCAGGACTCGGCGAGGACGACTCGCAATTATTTGAGTTTATAAGGTCAGGCAATCTCACGGCACTTGTACTCAACGCTGGATGATTTTATATTACGGGTATTCATACGAACAATTTCCATTAGTTTGACCAACACTTCAAGTTGGCTTGTTGTCTCGAGTGTAGCTGAACGAATGCTCAATTGAATTGAATGACCCTAAACCTGACCCACAAACGAGACAGCAAATTAGCCCACGACATTGCCCCATGGAATGCTATGGAATGTACGCAATCTTGACTGGCCATGGGTGGTAATCGAGTTACCCTGGCCATTAGGGATGCCTGGGCAAGTGCAGCAGGCAGATAAGACTGGCAATTGATTGGCTGCATAACGAATGCATTCTGGGGCACCTCCACGCTAGGGGAGGATATAAGTACAGGAGGGCGGCCAGCGGCCAGAGCACAGTGACCACGGCATCGAGGAAGGTCATGAAGCATCTACTGACTGCACTCGTGGTGGTGCTGAGTGCCGCCCTTCCCGGGGAGCAGATCCTGGGCTCGGCCAAGGGCTGCAGCCGGCGCTATCTGAGGCGGATCAACGGCAAGTGCTACTATTTTTCCGTGAAGAAGGTAAGGCGACGCGCAGACCAGACCCCACTGACCACCCATCCTTGATCATCCCATCCTTGCACCCATTCAGATGAACTGGCATGGTGCACTGAACAATTGCCTGCGCAAGGGCCTGGTTTTGGCCGATCTGAGTAACCCAAGAGATTTCTACGGAGCCGTCGACTTTCTCAGCTCCAAGGGCAACACGGAGGACTTCTGGTTCGGGGGAAACGACCTCCAGCATGAGGGCCGCTTCCAATACATCAGCAACGGGCGCCTGGTGCGCTACTTTGGCAACTACAGCATTGTGGAGCCAGCGGAGCACTCGGAATGCGATGATTGCCTGGAGGTGCGTATCCGCTCTAACATAACAGTGGTGGCGGACGATAACTGTTTGGAGCGGCAGTACTTCATCTGTTCGGAGCGCTACTGCAGCGCCGATAGTGAGGAAGGCGCTGCCGGCAAGCCAAACCATCACAGCCACGAGCATCTGCATCACTTCCATCACGACATTGGCGAGAGCGCCGGCGAAGAGGAGGAGGGTTTCAACGAAGCCCCGCCCATTGGCAGCGGCTCTGGGGAGAATGACGCCAGCAATTCGGAGGGTGCTGTAGAGTTTCCAGACCTGCCCGATGACGCCACTGCTGGCTCCACTACACCGTTAAGCGATATCCTTCCAGAAGGATTGGGAGGCGAAGCTGAACCCGTCGAAGCCCCCCCTGCAACTGGAGAAGAAGTTCCGGCAGGGGATACCGGACACGGCGAAGAAGGAGGTACTACGGAAGAAGGAGCCATAGAAGAATATACGCTGGAAGCCGGAGAGGAAGGTGGAGAAGCCGCTGCGGGAGCAGGTGGAGAAGCTGCTGAGGGAGAAGACACTCTAGCCGGAGAGGGAGGAGAAGCTCCTGACACTGAAGGAGAAGCTGCTCCGGCGGTCGAGAGAGAAGTTGCACCAGCGGCCGAAGGAGAAGCAGCTCCAGCGGCCGAAGGAGAAGCAGCTCCAGCGGCCGAAGGAGGAGCAGCTCCAGCGGCCGAAGGAGAAGCAGCGCCAGCGGCCGAAGGAGAAGCAGCTCCAGCGGCCGAAGGAGAAGCAGCTCCAGCAGTCGAAGGAGCAGCTACGCCAGCAGCCGAAGGAGAAGCAGCTCCAGCGTCCGAAGGAGAAGCAGCTCCCGCGGCCGAAGGAGAAGCAGCGCCAGCGGCCGAAGGAGAAGCTACGCCAGCAGCCGAAGGAGAAGCAGCTACAGCGTCCGAAGGAGAAGCTGCACCAGCAGCCGAAGGAGAAGCAGCTCCAGCGGCCGAAGGAGAAGCTACGCCAGCCGCCGAAGGAGAAGCTGCTCCAGCTGCCGAAGGAGAAGGTGCACCAGCGGCCGAAGGAGAAGCAGCTCCAGCGGCCGAAGGAGGAGCAGCTCCAGCGGCCGAAGGAGAAGCTACGCCAGCGGCCGAAGGAGAAGCAGCTCCAGCGGTCGAAGGAGATGCAGCTGCAGCGGCCGAAGGAGAAGCAGCTGCAGCGGCCGAAGGAGAAGCAACTCCAGCGGCCGCAGAAGGAGCAGCTCCAGCGGCCGAAGGAGAAGCAGCTCCAGCGGCCGAAGGAGAAGCTGCTCCAGCTGCCGAAGGAGAAGCTGCGCCAGCGGCCGAAGGAGAAGCCCCAGCTGCACGAGTACCGCCAGCTGCACGAGTACCCCCAGCAGCACGAGCACCCCTAGCAGCGATGCACCACATAATCTAATACAAATTCAGTTATGACCTATTAAATCATTTTAAAATAAAATAAAAAAACCTTGAGCCAAAGTACTTTATGTGAACCTTAAATCCATGGCTGATTTTGAGGAATATTCAAAAGAGTTTGAAATATTTTGCAAATCAATTAGAGGAGTTTCAATGCGCTATGATTCATAGGACATACGAGTACACCTAATTCTGATTTTACACGCTTTTAAAATAACACGATTTGAAAATCAAACATTTTAAATTTTGTTACTCCATTGAACATATTTTTTATACGCAAATATGTTTTTCAACGTTCCCTAATTTATTCCCTAATGTGAATTGGTTTTAGAGATAAGGAACCAATCACCTATTTTTTTATACGATCGTTTTTTTTACACCGTTTTTTTTATGAAGCACCGTGTAAAAACAAAATTAGGTTTATTTACATGTCAGTAGGGAACTGTAGTTGAAGGAACATATGGACATCATTAAGTATTATAAGAACAATGAACAAAATCGTATATCGTTTGAGAGAGTTTAATGGGATATAGATGTATCCCCATAGAAATAAGATTGTGCTCATCTAAATTTATTCTCTAGTATACGAGTATATGTATAAGCAAATTGAGGGACTTTTAAGAGGGACTTTTGTCAGCTTTTCCATTATTATTTCCGAGAAAACCATGCGCAGACCGCAGTGTCTCCAGTGAGGTTCTAGCTCTGATTGATATGAATGCCCATAGTTACCAAATGACCCATTGAACCAGTGACCCAAAAAGAAGGTCAGCATGTCCAATTGCATTTGATCGATTCGCTGGACATTCGATATCAAGCGGAATGGAAGTAGGACCCAATCAAGGTGAGAATTTTTGATTCGTTGCTAATGTAGTGGTCACGGACTCAAGAGGGTATATATAGAACAGGAGGCGGCCCGCAAGTGTACAGTTTGGATGGACAGGTGGCAGATGCAGCCATGAGGATTCTTCGAATTGTGATACTGACCTTGATCGTAGCCTATCCCGATCAAGTTCTGTCCTCCAATAAGCGCTCTAAGGACAAAAAATCGGATGCCAAGGGTGCTTGTGGGAAGCCCTATATGAGGCAGCTGAATGGAAGATGCTACTACTTCTCGGTAAAAAAGGTGAGTATCGCACATCGGGGGAAGCGGCACAGGGCAGAGTGATTCAGTGCATCCATCCGCAGATGAACTGGTTTGGGGCCCAGAACAATTGTCTGCGTAAAGGTCTCAATCTGGCGAATCTGGGCAGTCCGGAGGACTACAAAGCGGTTATCCGCTACCTGAATACGCGGGGAAACATGGAGGACTATTGGTTCGGAGGTAACGACCTACAGGCGGAGGGCCGATTCACATACATCAGCAATGGCCGCATGGTCCGCTATTTTGGGGAAAAGGGCATGGTGCAGCCGACGCATCGACACAATCTGGACGACTGTCTGGAGGTGAGGTTGCGGTTGAACAACACCGTGGTTACCGACGAAAATTGCCAGGAAAAGCAGTACTTTATCTGCGAGAAGTTCAGTGAACAAAAGTGCGCCGTGGCAACGATGGATGCAGGACAAAAGGGACAGCACAGCCACGAGCACTTGCATCACTTCCATCACGACCCAGCAAAAGGAGAGGACCAGGGAGGGAGCGGTCCAGAAGGTATGGAAAGCGATTCGCGGCCGATTGATAATACGAATTCAGCGGAGGTTGGCGAATCGAGCTTTGAGGGGCCGGAGCTGGAACAGCAACCGGGGGCGGAGGAGGCCGCAGCAAAGGAGCCAGGAACTGAGACAGAGGGTCCGGCGAACGCCCAGGAGGTCCCGGAAGAGGATCAGATTGATGAGGCTCCATCTGAAGAGGAAGCTGAAGAAGACACCACTCCGTCTGAAGATGCCCAACATGCTAGCAGAAGTGAACCTCCAGCGGATGATAACACGGCAGAGGAAGGCGAAGCCGCCACGCCCTCGGGTGAGGCTGACGGTGGTTCCAGCGTCCAGCCTGAAAGTGCCGAGGCCACAGTCGCCGGTGAAAGCGAAGCTGGTGCGACCGTCGAGCCTGAAGGGGCAGAGGCCGCAGCCGCCGCTGAAAAAGAGGGTGGTGCCACCGTCCAGCCTGAAGATGCCGAATCCACAGCGGGCGTTGAAGGTGAGAATGTAACGGAACCGCCAGGAGAAGAGGATGCGGCTGCAACACCCGCAGATGCAGCCGGTGAAGAAGAGTCTGGTGCGACCGCCCAGGCTGAAGGTGCCGAAGGCGCAGCTCCCGCTGAAGGTGCCGAAGGTACAACGCCCGCTGAAGGTGCCGAAGGTACAACGCCAGCTGAAGGGGCCGAAGGTACAGCGCCCGCTGAGGGTGCCGAAGGTACAACTCCCGCTGAAGGTGCCGAAGGTGCAGCTCCCGCTGAAGGTGCCGAAGGTGCAGCTCCCGCTGAAGGTGCCGAAGTTACAACGCCCGCTGAAGGTGCCGAAGGTGCAGCTCCCGCTGAAGGTGCAGCGCCCGCTGATGGGGCTGAAGGTGCAACGCCAGCTGACGGGGCCGAAGGTGCAACGCCCGCTGATGGGGCTGAAGGTGCAGCGCCCGCCGATGGTGCAGCACCCGCTGATGGTGCAGCGCCAGCTGAAGGTGCAACGCCAGCTGAAGGGGCCGAAGGTGCAGCGCCCGCTGAAGGGGCTGAAGGTGCAACGCCAGCTGAAGGGGCTGAAGGGACCGAAGGTGCAGCGCCCGCAGAAGGTGCCGAAGAAGCAGCGCCCATTGAAGCCAAAGCCCCGGCGCTCGAGGGATAAAACCCCGACCCCCTGACCACACCCTCCTTCCTCCCCCCACACTGAAGCGAATGTCTAGTAATCTAAGGGATCGATGAATATACATACATATATGATTGAGTTTTCAAAGAATAAAATAAAACAAGCGAGAGAGAGATTGCAGATTGCAACTGATCTTGAAGAGGGGATCGGGAGGGGAGGTGTTCCTTATGGGAGGAGGGTAGTGCTGCAGGTTTGTATTCGAGGAATGTTATGTGTAGCATAGACTGTTGATGGTCCGTGGCATGCAATGGTACTAGTATTTCCAGGTACAAATATTGAGCTAACCTACGACGCAGTCGGGTGAGGGATGTCTAGACATAATCAAAATAATCAACTAGGATCTTAAAATCGTGAAAAGTTCGAAAGTTCGAGAGATCGGGCTACTTACATTTCGATGCATCTGTTTTGCATTGAGATTGAGTGGAAGCAGATAATATTTATAAATACAATATATTGTATATAGAAAATACATATACATACATACATACATTCATACATACGATAATATATTACTGGCTAAAAGAAAGAACCAATTCTTTTCTATTTTGTTTTTTTGTTTGTTTTCAAGTGGAAACTTTTGAATATTTTTTTTTAAAAACCGATACAGAAATATGAATAGATATATTATTCCACTTGCGTTTGATTTGATTTTTTTGCACCCACTTCAAAGAACATACATTTTCAATCCATGTGCACAGATGCATACATACATACATGTAGAACATCTTTGAAACTCAAATAAATTCCAAAAGAAATCTCATAAAACATAACTAAACACTGCCCCGAAATATACAGACTACATACATACAAACATGTACATATGTATATACACTAGCCTATAGATGGAACAGTCTTGTATGTATCTGGGGGCAGCTATAATTATATATACGTATCATCGTTTTGGGTGTGGGTTGTGTCTGAGGAGAGAAGACCAACTTATAGTTCTCGAGGGGCTACATATAAACTGCGCCATAATTGGCTTACGTATCATCCACATCGTCGTCATCGGCATCATCATCATCACCAGAGCCAAGCCACGGTAGCGGACAATTAAATTTTTGTTTTTGCTTCTGCTATCGGATCGAACACGCCCCAAAGCCCCACCCACACAATCCCATCCCATTTCTAAATCCCAGCGGCCACACAGCTCCAACTCCTTGATGATGATGTAACTTTTGTTCACTTTTTCCTCCGTTTGGAATGCGGGTCATAGGTTAAGCTGGTCTCTGTCTCACCATTCAAATTAATTCACTCAACGTACATACTTGTATATTTAGAAACGTAGAAACATACACACATACGCATAAATACATACATATGTGATGTGTTCGTATGTACACCTTAAAACTTTAGATTTCTAATTTGGAAACTTTCACAGCAATTCAAATGGTTACCTGTAATCGAGCTGAACATATTGCAACTTTTGTTGTGTGATTCGGTTTTTAAATCGGAATTAGTGAACTGCTTCTTCTACTTGATTTGATCGAATTTGGTTTCGAATTTTGTATTGTATATTTTCTGTTCAGTTTTACTTGCGGTCAACGATTTTGGTGCTTGGTGCCGAAGCGCGTTTATTTTTAAAACGTCCGAATTCGACGAGAGACAGCACGGAATAGCCGCGGAACAGCGGTTGAGCTGCCGGAGTGCCCTGTATGCGCATCTGGAATTTCTGTCTAAGGCCACTGTAGGCAGACGCACAAGGCACTTTTGCTCATACAGCAGCAGCATAAACGAACGAGTATCGTTCCAATTGCTCGATTTTGATCTTCCGTTGAATAATACTAGCTATACATAATATTTGCCATGCCCACTTAATTTTATACGATTGATGCATCTAATTCTTACTTGATTGACTTAATTTAAATAATTGCATTTATTGGATTTTGTTTAATAAAGGGTTTTAGCGAAAAGGGTAAAAAAAAATTGAATGTGACTCATTGAGAGCGGAGTTAACCGGTTCAGAGAGCGAGAGCAGCATGTTGAGTGTAATTGAGTGTAAAATTCCCACTCAAGAGAGAACTCTAGAACTGTTATCACGAGTCTGGCAACACTGGACCGTTTGCCAAATTTTTCATCGCTCTGGCAGCACCTTTTGATATCTTTCACAGGCTAGCCGCCATGGGACTAGTTAACCGTTGCCAGACTGCCAGAAAATTGTTCGAAGTTGGGCGGGTTGATTCAAAGTTTTTTTTACATTTTTACCATATTTCCAGTAATTGCACAGTTGCCGGATGTCAGAAAATAGAATGAAACGAAACTAATAAATCGTATAATATAAGCAGTTTCTGCAATTAAATTAGTCATGGTTATGATCATTTCAAATATGGAATATACGGAAGTTTTGTCCGCTTATAATCTTATTATTTATTATATAAGTGCATTGCAAAGGTTACATTTTCTTTCATGTAAAAAAATGAGCCTGCTGTTTTGTGTTTATTGGCTGCTGCTGCTGAAAAATGGAGAATCTATTTCGACCGACTTAAGTGGTTACCATAATAGTGCGGTAAGCATTGTTCGAACATCTGCAATACGTCTGAAGGAATTAATAAATCCTTTTTTTCTCTGAATACGGAACAGTTACTGAATTCTGGTCTCAACATAAAACCTCGCTCCAAAATATATATAAATATTTTCGCTGGCGTACATAAAGTGCTTGGCAATGAATGTTCTGATCCTGAGGATCATCTCGATGCCCAAAGTGTCTGAACTCAAGTCTCCACTACGGCGAATTCCGAGTATATAATGAGTAACATATTCATACAGAACATATCCATGTGATTAAGATTTTTATTTAATGACTCTGCTACAATCTACAATCTATTTATAAAACAGTCGACTAAAGGTAGTATCTTTAAGATTAGCAATTTCTTATGTACTGTACAGATGGATATTACAAAGGAATTGTGCTTATGGCAATGGGTCTCGTGTCCTGCAGCCTTTACCCTACTTGTTAAAGTTCTCGATCTGCTGGAGGACCCAGCTGCGCGATGCCGCCTGACAGACGACGACTCCTCTTTTGAGCGACTGCTGGTGGGCGTGGGACAGCAGCTCATACACGGCCTCCTTCGAGGGCTTCGGGGCTATCTGCGGTGGTGGGGTGGGGCGTGGACCGAGTGGTGGTGGCGGAGGAGGACTGGTGGGTCTCCTGAGGTCGTAGTCGCCGCTGCGCTTCTCGTTGTCATCACTGTAGATGGCCGAGTCGCGGAAATCATTCTCCAGACTGTCCTCCACCTGGCGCTCGTACTCGAAATGGGTGGGCGGCGGGTCCGCCACGGACCGCTTGCGCTGCTGCTCGCACATGCTGTCGCTGGAGGAGGATGTCAGCGAGAAGACAGAGTCCCGCTCTGAGCTGACCATGGCCATCAGGCTGAACAGGGTCTTGGGGTCCGCGTAGTCGACGTGGGCCATTCGCTCGCCCAACGCCTCGCTGCCCTGCCGATGCAGCACGCTCTGGCGGCACATCTCGCTCACATCGGAGACACGTCGCTCCGGCGGGCGGTTGGAGCGGCCAAAGGCCAGGGTCAGGTTATCGATGGACTTGAGGGCACGCGGCAGCAGGGAGCTCTCCGAATTGGACACGTTCTCGTTGCCTGGGCCTCCCTCTCCGTTGCCGCCGCTCAGCAGGCGCTTCATTAGGTTCTTTGGTATGGGGCGGGCGTAGAGGGCTGCCTGATCCTCTAGGCAAAGGTTGATCACCGTATTCTGGCTGTCCCGTTTCAGGGTGGAACCGGAGGAGGAGCTGGAACACGTGGCATCCGAGCCACAGCTGTCCCGTTGCACTGCCTCCTCGCCCACCCTCTGGAGCACGCCCTCCGGCGAGTAGACCAAGGTCACGTAATCCGACTCTGGACGCGGGGCGGCCGATGCTGTCTTGCTTCGCTTCTTCAGCATTTGGGCAGACTTGGCGCGACCTAGGACGGGGGAGAACTTGTACGGGACATGGACGTTGCGTAGCAAGGTTTCGTAGATGGGCTCCTCGAGCTCGGCCCGTCCCTTGGCTTGATCCTCCAGCTCCAGCGGCGGAGGGGAGCGAGACGGTGGCCGTGGCGGTAGGGCAGGCACTCGATTGAGATCCTGGCTGGGGGACAATGGACTGACGGGGCTCACAGGACTCTCGCGTCGCTTCTGCTGCTTGTTGTAGATGCGCTCGAACTCCTTGGTGTTCTTGAGAAGATCGAGCACAATCTGGGCGTCACGCTTGGACTTCTCCGCCGGCGACAGCAGTTCCTGGTTGCTGTAATACTGATCGTGATCGTGGTCCACCACATCGGACGTTGGCTCGTTTAACGTGTCTGCCTCCTTGGCCAGTTCTATGTCCTGCTCTGGTCGCAGCTCCTCCGTGGACTCGGTTATTTTCAGGACGGTGGAACTGCTGCTATCGAATTCGCTGAGATCCATGTAGAACTTGGAGCAGCTCTTGCTGCTGGTGCGCTGCTTCTTGAGTGTGGCTATCCGCTTGGGCATGGTCTTGTTGTTGTATTGCTTCACCTCGAAGAAGCCCTTGGCCTTGGCCTTGCGTTCGCTCAGGTCGGGCTTGCTGCCCCGCAAGGAGGCGACGCTGTCATCGTCCTGCTCCTGATCCTGTTCTGCCTCTTCGTCCAGGCTGAATCCGCCGATGCGTGGCACAGACTTGCTGCGTTCCTTGAGCGCCTTGTAGCTAAAGACTGGCGACTGCGACTTGGCACTGCGACTACGTTGATCGCGCAGAATGCAAAGACACTGGTCCGCCTGATCCGGAGGATCCTCCTGCCGGCACTTGCACGCCTCCTTTGCCGGGGACTTGGTCACCTCCTTTCCAGATCCATCTCGCTTGCGATACCGCATCGCGGCGGCCAGCTTCTGCAGGGCCGTGTCGTCCAAGCTGTTGTTGCGTGACAGCGGCTTGGAGGGCTTGGAGGCCTTGGACTCCTGCTCTTCGCTCTGGTTCTGGTTTTGGTTTTGGTCCAGCTCCAGGGACTCGTTGAAGGAGCTATCGAAGGAGGTGGAATTGCTCACCGTCTTGCGCTTGCCCTTGGAGTTGCGCTGGCGGATCTCGCTTCGCCGACATGCGTTGCGACGCTCCAGATACGTGGGCTTGGAGTTGCTGCTGGAGTGGAGACTCCACTTCCACGTGCTGCGGTCCGGCGTGCGATCTGCGGGAGAGCTTCGTTAGTCGAGGGTCAAACTTAGCTCAGGTCGTGATAAGCGGGCGGCGGTGAGAAAGGGCGTGGGACAAACACCAGTGAGGATACATTCTGAAGAAGCATTCTGGCAGTCTGGCAGAGCAGTCTGGGAGCGGTTCATGCGCTCATGCGGTCAGTGACTTGGATTAGTAGTTAAGTGGGTTCTTTCGAATGTGGGTTAGGATGCATGCAACATACAGACCCGACCCCGAGCGTGTTAAAGGCCAATTAAAGCTAACAATTCAATCCAACTAGATATGCGAATCTCGTGATACTTACTGGGCTCTCGATACCAGCAACGATAAGCGATAAACCATAAACGGTACCGACTCTACTATTACGATTACTATTACGATTACGAGTAACGATTAACGATTACAGTTAGGATGGTTAAACGGTTATATGTACTGGGATTTTGGATTTTTATAGATATTGTAGCAGTTGGTAGGTTGTCAATTTAGTCTGATCGCATTTGGTGTGTTGTAGGAAATTACGAGTAGAGTAGGTAGCGGCTAGATCAGTTTCAGTTTCAGTCTCGGGGGGGTTGTTTAGCCTTAGAACACCCTTAAAAACTAATCAAAGTTTTCGTTTCTTTGTTTTGGGATGTTTAGTTTTAGAATGCATCACTGGTAGTACTACAACGGTAAACATATAGCATTTGTATAGAGTAGAGTTAATTCAGATCGAGATAAATGGCAACACAGATAAGAATAGTAGTTTGAGCTGTGCCCCCTAATCTAATTAGTATTAATGTACGACACCAAAAAACAAAGTACATACAGTATGATGTGGACCGAAACAGATGACGATTATATGAGGACACATAAGTGCTGGCACTAGTCAGCAGTCAGTAGTCAGTAGTACAGTAGTGCCCAAGAAATTTGCAATTAAAATAAGCCTACATCGGGCAGAAATATGTAATAAATCAACTTGCCGCCGAGGCGTCGACAGATTTGGCACGATTTTGGGGAAAGGCAACAGGGCCAGAGACTCAGACAGACAGACAGACAGACACAGACCACAGATCTCCCGGCACACAAATCTCTCCTAACGACTGCCACTTGGTTATGTCACTTTAGCTGGAGCGTGCGAATCATAAGTGCACAGTGAGAAAGGAACAGGCACTTGATTCGAGTAGATCTACTGGAAGGAGTCTCATACGAGCATGTACGTGTGAAAGCTCGCGCAGTGCAGGCAGTACCCGCATGTGCATAACTGTAGCGTCAGGCGCAGGCACTTCATCATCTTGCCCCATTCCCATTCCCATTCCCAGGCCCAATCCAAATCGTTAAGTGTTTCGGCCACATCAACGGCGACACAACAACAGCAACAAAACTAAGCTCCTAGAGCTAAAGGCTAAGCTAACCAGCAACCACGGAGGACAGAGTGCGCTCACCTTCCTCGTTACCCAGCTGATAGACGAGCTCCTTGGCTCGCAAGGGTATGTCAAGCTTCTCCAGCATGACACCTTTAATGTGCTGCGTCCAGATACGCTTCTGGTCACGATTTCTGGCCGTCAGCTTGATTTGATTGCGGGGCTCATCGTAGGGTATGACGTAGAAGCTGGTCGGCTCCCCGGACAAGTGTTCGCTCAGCATCAGATTGTTTTGCTGTGGGAGAGGAGGGTGCACATACACACACTTAGTAGTGGGAGGAGGAAGTGCTGGGAGGTCGTTCAACTCACGTGTATGTAGGTCTTGAACTGCAGACGTCCGTCCTCCTTCTGCTTGGTGATGATCAGCATGGTGGCGAAGAGCAGCACCAGACGCGACTTGTTGTGCTGCTCCATTAGGAGGCCCTCCTGGCGCAGCTCCCCCAAAACGGTCAGCTCTGGGGATTCCAAAGAGTGAGTAGTTTTCTTCGAAAGAAGTGGAATTTAGAGGACTTACCCGGACCCAGCCAGCCGTCCAGTATGCCGGACAGCTCCTTGACGCGGCTCTGCTGCTCCTGCTTGCGCTTCACCTGGTCAATGTTGTGCGCCACCTGGCGCATGATCACATAGGCCTCGGCCACCTCCTTGACATCGCAGTGCTTGCGCAGGCTCTGTGAATGTGGAGAAAGAGACAATCAACTGTCAGTCACTGCTGCTGGATCCCCGCCTTCCCCCTTCCCCATTCCCCATTTCCCAGTTCGTACTCACGTCGAGGAGCAGATGGTACTTCAAGATGCGCTGCACTGGCTTTAAAAGATAGGAGCCCAGGGGCAGACGGTGCTGCAGCATCTTCTGCGTGGAGGCCAGCAGGGCGTTCGTGTGCGTTGCCTGGAGCAGCTTGGTCAGCAGCGAGATGGCTTCCGGGTAGCTGGTGCTGCGGGGGAGCGAATGACATACAATGAACGGCAAGATTTATGGCATGTGCTATGGCTGGGAAAGCGCTTTAGGTCTTCATCAGGCGAACATGAAATTTGACTTTAAAATCAGTTGCCTTCCCCAGTGGGGCGAGCGAGTGGGACGAGTGGGAGGACAGGACACCAAACTGCAGCCTGCAGACGGATGATATATGCCGCTGTGTCATTCGGGGCGACAAATCAAACTCCAGCCATCAAACTCTCTGCCCTCGCTCTACTCCAAATTGGCACTGACAGCCCCAACAGCGCAGCAGCGCAATGGAGCAATGGAGCAGCGGCAATGGTTCGGGGTAAACGTCAGCGTTTAAATGGAACATGGCGTG